CTGTTTTTTTCAATCCAAATCTAGTCAAGTTTAAATGGTCCTCTTAATCAAAATGTGTGGATTACTTCACAGCCGAGTAAAGTGCATTTTGGTTCTTATCTTGGCATTGGTCGTCAATTGAACACCAAGTACTTCTGAATTGCATGACTTTGTCTGGCCAAAAAGCGTACGTGATGAAAAAAGGTATATTGAAGCAAATGTCATATATAGGCTTGAAGAAAGCTGACTTTAAGAGAACGTATTTATTTATATCAAATGGCAGGCGTCTTGATGGTCATCATTAGCCCTTTCATTGACTTCAGGCTACACAGATGGGAAGAAACATCAAATTGAAAAAGTCGACAAGGGGGAGGGGGACAGAAGAGTGTTTCAAAGATGTAAGAGACAAACACAAAGGTAGAACAGAGGTGAGGTGAGTACTGTGAAAATATTCGAATGTGGCATAGAGTGAGGTGATGGTAGTTTAAAGTGAGAAGTCAACTGCCAGTCAATAGACTTTTTGCCGTATGAGTATACGTTGCCTAGGGTGCACCACATGGAGGTAAGTCTATCGCACACCACAAACTTTAAGAGAACGTAGCTTGCATCAAAGTTGCAAATACCTCCTACCAGCTATATTGCTCTGTAGCCAATCATCATTTTCTTAACGCTGTGCAATTCTTGGTGCTGCTTTCAACTGAAATTGTACCATTGTGAGGGAGAATGAGCAATGCTTCAAATGCAAATGAAGTTAAATGGGCGGCTTGGAAACCAATGTCCAACCATGGGCAAATTTTCCAAAATTCACGCACACTAAGATCTAGAAAACGGAAGAGTTACAAATTTGGGCCTCTGAGGAGTAAGTACTTTTCAGAAGCGAATTTTTCGTATCATCTCTCTTCTCCTCTACCTATCTGCCTATCTCAAATATACTTCGTTCAAACAGTATTTATACCACAAATTTCGACATATCTTATTTTCAAGCTTAGTTTCCTTTTTGTTGGGTAAGCTCAACACGTATGGATGTCATCTGCTGTGCGGATCCTGTAATAGTCGAGCTCAATGGGTGCTAAACACTTTAATAATCCCGAAAGTGTATATTACTATTCTGTCATTATATGGATATTCTGTAGACTCCACCAGTAATTTTCGATATTCCCTAACATCTAGAATTATTTCAGAAACCCCCTCCCCCCTCTCTCAGAAGGCGATGAATCCTTCGTTATACACAATTCTTACCTTCTCCCTTGCGGTGAAAGCTTACATTATAAATAAAGTTTTAAGTCGTCGATTGCATCACCTTCGATGTGGTACATATAAATGCATATATGAGCAACATATCCCCATACCCTCCATAATTTTAGCTTGCCTCCATTTTCCCGGTTGCAACATTAAGTTTTAAAGCCGTATTAGAGGAAAACACCGCGTCCTATGTGTGGTCGGTCATCCAACCAATGACGATTCAGGTAGCCTGAGGTCAAATGTGATTTAGTCCACACTCTCTTCATATAAGTGCATTTCAGAAATGGAAAGGATGGTTCGCGTACGAAAGCTCAGTGCCGCTCTCTACGCCTTGACATGTGTTTGTCTTATTCTTGCTCTGGTTCTACCTTACTGGGAGTGCGGTGATCTATTTGGAAAATGTATCCAAGACGATGATCCCAATCGAACTACAATGTTGGCTGTGGCCTCTCTACTGGTTGTATCTCTAGTCTTTCTTTTCCCCGTCTTCGTTATTGACACTGTTAGGCTTTGTACGAAGAGGCTGCCTAATGGAACAATTACCGTGCGGTTTTTGTTTATCTACATCGGCGCTTCAGCAGCCATGGCGTCTGTTTTGACCTACACGAGCATTATTTCAAAAAATTGGGCCTACTTTTTGACTATTTTTGCTGCTGGTATCGTCTTTGTTGTCCAGAAATTGGCCATGATCTCATCACGATGCATCTCTGAACCTCTTGCCTAAAATATCCACCTCCTTATCTTTGCCTTTCTTTTCCTTCCTGCCTCTAATTAGACTCAGTTATGTATTTTTCTTAGGTCAATAAACACGCTGAGTGTGTATTCTACGCCTTTTTATCTTTTGATTTAGCAAAGAAAGCTGTGACAATGTTTACATAATAAAATCTACTCCCGTAAAAACTCACGCATATTTCAGACATTAAAACTGTCTAAACAAACTGTCATAGTTTACAATTATCGTATAGGAGTGTTGGACAATGCATAAATTGGCTGAATTTGTACAAAAGTGTGAGGAATAGGGGACATATGGGATAGTGAGGGGTGGCCGTGGCTTTGTACGTTGAGGTGAATGCCACATTCGGCTAATAGTGCATTGGTTGCCTGAACGCGCGTGATTGGCTTAGGAAGAAAGTTGTTTTCGCACGTGTGTTGGCCAAAACAACATTTGACGATCACCTAAAGCTGACCCTGATAAACATTTTGAGGGCACATCAGCCTTTCGCCCAACTAAACCAACATCAAATCAACCGATCTACAACCACATTGAGCTGCTAAAGTTCATGGACCTATTCCTTGATGTTTTTGGGGCAAACTTTGATAATCTTAACAAGTACTATGGGGAAAACTTTAAAAATTTCATTTCACCTTTTTTATGTATTCGCATTGTGGAGGGTTCCTTGGTTATTTTTTCGTCTCTAAAGTGCAAATGGGCAGGTGTATAGTAACCCAAATTATGGGTAAATTTCAGCAGCACACAGTCGGCTTGGGTGTAAAATTCGGGTTCTTTCATTAAATGTATTAGTCTAATTAGTCAATGTGGTTAGTGTGCATTGGTTGGCCTTGAGTCATGGCCAGTGATTTTGCTGACAGGCGCCCAAGGAAAAACCTTTTATGAACTACTGCCAGTTCCATAAAATTTTCACGAAACCTTCAGAAATGTTCCTACAAACTTAACATAGCTTCATTTCTGTTTACGTAACTAGCTACGATAGATGTACCTATTTCACATTTATTTAAATATTATTGACAATTGTCCAAGGTGTTGAATTAATTAATATGTTAACCTATTTGGTAAAAGTTAAATGTATTTAGCAAACTTCCAATATAAAATTAAAAAATTCTCTGAACGATGAAGTAAAAATTTGATTAATCATTTAAAATCGATTTCAGTGAGTGTTAGCAATGTCGAGTGTAAGTTTTCTTTTGCAAAATCATTCTCGTTCATGCATTAGTTACGACAAGAAGAAAACTGCTGTTCAAATGCGATAAGGTGGAAATCTTTTCTACTTTACTTTATACATCTTCTGAATAAACTGAAATCTTTAAAGTACTTAAACATCTCAACAACCACGGTACCAGAAAGAGTTAGTATTAACAAACCGAGGGATGATTAAGTACAATTTTATTGATGGAGAGTTTCTACGCTACTAATTCTATTTGGCAATCTTCCACTGCCCTATCCTCATCATTGACTACCTGTTTCTGTTCAGCAAACTTCCACTTTGAAGACTACGAGACACAAAAATCAATTTGAATGAGATTGGTCAAATAGGACTTGTTAATCCATTCCTAATAAGTTTCATACAATCACAAGGAGGAAAGTTTGATTCCTGGCAATTTTATCTTGTGTGGGTGTAGGTTATGAATTTAATAATATCAGAGTGAAAAACCAAAATCAACATTGATGCATCCCTCCCCACCTCCCCCCCCCCAAATCTTGGAACTCCATAAGTCTGCTTGTTATTGGTGGATTGCATCATGAAAACTCACTGGTGAGAAGGTAGAATACAGCCACCCATATTTGTTCGTCAAACTCCACCAGTGCCTTTGATTGCTAATTATGTAGAGATGGGCACAGATGGACTCGTTTGCTGGCTATTGGCTCTTCACTCATTATGAGGGGAGGGGCAGAACATTGTCCTACAATTGGTCAAAGAAGTGGTCGCTCCTTCTGATACTCCCCAAATATGGCAGTATTTGTAATGTCTCAGTAACTGAAACATCCTTGAGCTTGTAGTCCTCCTTCTATTTTCACTGTCTCAACTTACAATTTCATAATAATCAATAACCGTGAAATCTCAGAGGGGGGGGGGTGTGGGGTTGTGGAGGCGGTGGGGTCACGTGGAAATGGATTTATCATTTTCTGCCCAATAATCGTCAGATTGCACCTAGTTTAATAATGTCATGACTCAATGTCTTCCACTTTGTGACTTTCACCTCAATATTATTATTATTATTATTTCAAATGTCAGGCTTTGCGATATTTATCATTAGCGCTTAAAATTTGACTTCAGCTTCCACAAGGGTGGGGGTACATTTATAGGAGTTAATTAATAGCAATTCATTAGCCGTCTTCTTGCTTCCCAGTATCTCTGGCTTTCCGTCGTTGTCTTTAGGGCTGGATACCGAATCAGGTGGGTCTTCTCCATTTCCTCATGTAGGTTACATAGGGGGCATGTGGGTCGAGTGTATACTCCCAATCTGTGAAGATGTTTTGCCAAGTAATCGTGTCCGGTACGTAGTCTAAACTCAGCAACGGCTTTGATTCTTGGCCAGTCAGGTATATCGGAGAGTGCCACTGTCCACTGCTTCTTCTTTGTTCGAGCTTTAAGTTCGTTGCACCTTGAGGTCTGGAATTCTCTCCTGATTAAGGCCTTCATTGTATGGGAAGACATTGGCCGGTCCATGCATTGCAAAATCGTTGTCCTCTTCTTAGCAAGTGTGTCAGCAAGCTCATTGCGTTTAATGCCACAGTGACCAGGAATCCATTTTAGGACCACTATTTTGTTTTTCTATCTTAGCAGCGATAGAATTTTCTACATTCCTTTATCTCAGCTGTTTTGGGTGGCTCTCTGTTTCCAATAGAGTCTATTGCTGACTGTGAGTCCGAANGTGTGGGGTTGTGGAGGCGGTGGGGTCACGTGGAAATGGATTTATCATTTTCTGCCCAATAATCGTCAGATTGCACCTAGTTTAACAATGTCATGAATACCATAGAACAAGATCATCTGCATAAAATGATCACTTAATGCCCGTGACTGTCTGTACCGATTCGGCAATGTCATTGATGAAGACATTGAAAAGAGTGCAGCTTGTGACAGCTCCCTGTGGAAAGCCTGTTGGTAAAAGATTGGATTTGGTTAGGGCATTTCCATTTCTGACTTTACATGATCTTTGTCCTATGAATGCTTTTATCCAATTTAGCATGTTATGCTTAATACCAATCAATATCGACGGCCTTTGACTTTGCTTTGGTACATCAAATCACAGGTATGAGTTGGTTCAGGTCCATAGAAATGAGTCATTGATCGGGTGACAGACTTGCCACCGAGTTCAGATATGATTCCAAATAGGCATTTGTTTCTTGTTTGATAAATGAGAACAATGACACGAACTCCAAGTTTTAGTTGAGCACAAAGTGATGATTAGATCTCTAGAGAAGAGTAGAGAACAAATGTGCCTTGAAAAGTAGCCAACATTCAAATATATCTACTCAAATGTATGGCATTTGGGTAGGTGCACTAATTGAACATCTCAATCAAATGTCCATGGATGTGTGTAATGGATCGATAAAGTGAAATGAAGTCACCAAGAGGCCTTTGTTACTTCTTCGATCTGACAGTTGTTGAGGTATTATCGTGATTGGGCATCTGAAAATAGCCAAGGAGATATGGACTCACATTTGTCAATGCTAATTTGTAGAGGAGTAGAAGAAAGGTAGTGTGATGTCACTGCTATCGATTATTCTGTCAAAAGGACGTTTTATACGAATTGAACCAATTATCACACGTTCACAGCCATCACGTGAGAAATTCAGTCTGCCGACGCAAAAGTGCAATTTCCCTGCATTTGCGTTTTGTGCACTGGAGAGGGAGAGGGAGAGGGAGAGGGAGAGGAAGAACTATTTTGGGAACAACAAATTAATGCCCAGTTAATATTTTAGGCTCTCCAAATTGACACGTGTTTTCCCCACCAGTGGAGGCTATTCTTATGACGAGAAGTGACACGTTTAATCAACACCCACAGTGTTACTGAATGTGCATTTTTAATTGAGTGAGGGAAGAAAGGTGATTGAGTGAGTGACATATGAAAATGTCCTGAGATATCCGCTTCAATCTGCCATAGTCATTTTGCATTTGGTTTTATCCATTTGAGTTGTAGAGTCTGTGCAGAATGTGTAGTTAACATTCAGGTCTCATGAATTGCATCAAATGCTGGTCAGTGGTGTTCAGTGCTGATTGGTTGAAAGTCGAACTATTCCAGTTACCTTTCCCCCTCTCCAATTGTAGAGAGGCCAAATTTTGCGAGCATGAAGCACAACAACTCACCTCATTAACATAAGAGAGATTGGGAAATTTGGCATTCCAAGTCACAAACGAATTCGGATCTGACCGCATTCTCTGTTGTCCCATCCATGACGAAATCGCCAAATGATGGAAATGTGTAAATTGAGTAATTTAAATCTGGATAGTTCAGTAATGTGCCTTCACTTAAGGTCAAGTAGAGTTTTGCCAACTTTTCTTACTGTGATGGACTCTGAAAATAGGTACTAGCGACAACAACAATGCAACCAATTTCGGCCCCTTGAAATTCAGTCACCTTCCAAATTAGACTCCAACTTATCCGAATGTCTCCAACTATACCACAACAGAATGAATCGATATCTCAATATTCAAGTTCCATTCTCCTCTCCATCTAAAGGTTGCGTTCCTGAACATTTAAAAATAAACAAGGTCATTACTAAACCCTGGCTTTTCAAACTTCTTACTTCCGGGATAGTTTTCAATTGCCTGAATCCGGCAATACCATTGGTGGCACCTTACATTCTAAATATTTCCAATTGCATCCAAATTAGTCCTAAACATTCATTCATATGTCTGACAATGCGACATCGACTTATTCGTGCTTTAAAACTGATCCAATGTTTGAAAATTAAATTAGATTCATATCTTATCTTTATCTCTTGTGCTTAAGGTAACCATCTACCATGAAAGAGGGAGTATT